TCCTTTTTCCATTCCAGTGAAAAGGATGATAGCTACAATCAGGGCATAAACTTGATTAATTTCCTGCCTTTCACAGTGATCCTTCATCCCTCAATTTTATATGTCCATGTTCTTCCCAGAAAAAAAAAAAAAAAGCTAAATGCATGGCCTCACTTTGTCAGTATTTAAGCCAACACAGGCCTGACTATTAGCCTGACAGATTCCTCCCTTTACTCTCATGTAACGCAATATGACCTCAGGCTACTGGACAGTGTTGCTGCTTCAACAGGATCCTCTTCACTGCCCCATCACTCAAATGGTTGATAAACTAATGAAAAGCTTGCAGTTTCTCAGAAAGTTGTGCTTCGACAAATGGATCAGTTTCTCAGGTTACATTATATGGCATTCTCCTCTTCCCAAGCCCTTTGATCAGAAATTATGCAGAAATTAGTGACCTATTCAGAGTATTAACGTTTAGATCACTGGCCTCTTTGTGGGACTAAGTGTGGTAAAAAATGTGTTCCCAATCTTCATAATGATTGAAGGTGATTTTCCTTTGACTGCTATTAATCTTGTTTTTGCCCTTTTTTTCTGGGAACACTTCCCGCCAGCAGAATACCAAGAAAACGGTTCCTTTAGAGTCTTTACATGCTTTACAAAAGCATGTCTTACTGATTGTTTTAAGCTTTTAAGTTTTAAGTTTTAAGCTTGGTTCTCAGTCAGAAGTCCCTCACCCTGCCAGTCCTCCCCAATATCTCACACTGGGATGTAATCACTTTATGAATGCTATCTTTTTCTTCTGTTTCTTCACTTTGTTTATTCCAGCAAAAATAAGTTTTTGAAGCAGAAACTTGTTCCATTTGTTTCACCCCTCACAAAACACGTATAACTTCATGTGACAATCTTAATTTCTATCTGTCCTCCACAATTTGACATCTTATCTGCAACAAAATCAATTTTAAAAAAAGTTTGACTTCTCACCAACAAATGTAACATTGGTGCTCACCTTTCCACAGTTATATGTACTGTAGCCAGGGCTGATCTTTGCCTGACTACCATGCCTTATAGTACCTGCTTAGAGTGTTATCACTTAAGCTTTCCCTACCCTCAGAAGGCTATGTTCCCAGGTTACCTTTTTTCCTTCACTAAGCAGTGAGCAGGCCTCAGAGACACTTGTAAGTGCCTGACTATAGCAGTTGCTCAGTAAATTTATTGGTTTTAAAACTGCACTTTAATCAGAGATGAACTGAGAAACCAATTTAGAGAAATATTTGAGTTGGGCTCCTTCCTGAAGATTGATAAAGCTCAGTATCCTGGAGAAGTCACTTCACTTTGAATGCCATATTTGGTAAGTAATTTAGCACATCCCTATTTGTGCAATGATGTGAGCTTCTGCCCTTCAACCAATTTAGTGATGGGCATGGGCTGTCCTTCAAAAAAACTTACCAGCAATTCTTTATTTTCTCTTGAAATCCATCTTCATTGATCTGCTTATCATTTGGTAGCCTTTCAGGAGTACATAAGTAATCTTTGAGATGACAAAAGCAAAATTTATAATGATGAAATTGTCGATTTCCAACAGTATCATAACTTAGTTGAAAAGGCTGCAAACACACACACATGTGTCTATTCCAGGGTTATCAGAAAGATATTTATATACATATTTAATAAGCTTTCTCAATAGTCACTCCTCTAGTATGTAAGACATAACAAAAAAGCAATCTGTGTGAAACTAATCAAGTCAGGGTTTTCTTTTAGAACTGGGTCATGGACCATAGGGGCAAAATGCAAGGTCCAGACAAAAGAGGGAGAAAAATAAGTAAACTAGTGAAAAATAAGTTGCAAATTGACAAGCTCAAGCTTTGTAACCAGCTATCCTATTTGCCAAAAACTGCCATTCTCAACTGCTATATGCTGAGCTTTAGACATTTTTCTTGGTCTTTTTAAGACTCACTAATAGATGGATGATGCTTTGTACCATTTGGGTGTTTTGTAGGAGTCAATGGAGGAGAGGCACAGAGTGCTTATGATAATGCCAGCCCTGTGTTAAACATGTCCCAATAGCAATTGTTCTATGATTTCGTGTCATCGTCAGTATCCCCCACAATTCTCTGTAATTGTGCCCTGTGATATGCTTTGAGTCTGAATAGGGAAACTTCAGAAAAAAATAACAAAAAAGAGCAAAGTTCCCCATTCTGAGAAGGCTAAAGGACACCAGACATAAGATGTTGCTGTGATAACCTTTCACTCCTGTGAGGACAAACACACAACCTGGAGAAACTGCACAGAAGAAAAGCTTCCCACACTCAAGCTGAAATTTCAGCCCATGTCTGCTGTACCTGCCTGGGCTGAATGAGCATCTCTGGCCCAGTGCACCACACACACAGCACTTGGCTTCCTCATGGACATAGAAATAATTCTGGATGGCAGGTGGGAAATGAGAGACTGCTTTCTCCCTGCATCTTGTCACCTTCCTCTTTCACGGTGGCAGAGGAACCTAGACCCTTCTCTTCAACTACCTCTCCTAACCCTTCCTACCTCACAGCATCCCTGTCAAGGTGAAAGACAGCTTCAGTCCACTGTGACATGCAGGAACACTCACCTGTGGGGTCCGTGCAGGGCTCAGGGTGGGCGACCTCACAGCATCTCTGTCAAGGTGAAAGGCAGCTTCAGTCCACTGTGACATGAAGGACACTCACCTGCGGAGTCCGTGCAGGGCTCAGGGTGGGCATCCTCACAGCCCAGCAGACTCTCGTTATCATCCCGAGCCCTGAGCCCACAGCAGCTGTCACTGCTGACAGGATGTCACCATGGGAGTTTGGCTTCTCCAGGGGAAAAGGGCTCCTTCTGCACATCTCCATCCTGGACACTCCCTGGGGCCCTGTCATTTGCTGAGCCAAAAACTTTCTGGTCCTAATTACAGTGCCTGAGTTTCCTGGATCCTGGGCATTTTCCCTTCTTTTACCAACAAGCCAAGAACTAAATTTTGAGAAACTTCTGAGAAACTGAAAAGCATGCTCTCTGAACATTTCAATGTTCAGTAACACTGTGGCTGGAGAGATGCTCCGTGGTTAAGAGTAATTGCTGCTCCTGCTGAGATCCATGTTCAATTCCTGGCACCGACATGGTAGATTACAAACATCTGTAACTACATATGACCTCCATGGGCATCAAGCACACATCAGAAATATGCATCTACTCAGAAAAAAACACAAAAAGTAAAGTGAGGCAATCTAATAAAAGTAAAGGGTTTTTTGTTTTTGTTTTGTTTTGTTTTGTTTTGTTTTTAAGGCTCAGTACTACCTAGAATAAAAGATGTTCAAGGCCCAGAGTCAGTGTCTGGTCCTACAGTGTGGTTGGTGTCCAGGGCACAGCAGCAGCGGGACTTTTTGGAGGTTTCGTCTGTTTCTTGCTCTGACTGCTGATTTATGTGGAGGAGCCAACTCCCCTCCTGCTTGAGTTCTTAATTTCTCCTATTTTTTGAATGTATCTCTTTTTCACGTTCACTGTCAAAAAATGCTTCTGTCTCTTGAAGATCAGATTGTTCAGTTATTGCCCAGATAAAGAGAAGGTTTATGTATAATTAAGTCTGAGGACCAAACATCAGTTCTGGGTCTCTGGTTCACCAGTTTGGGAAACGAAGTCTTTAGTTCTCATTTTTCCATTAGACAGCCGAGGAGACCCAGGGAGGACGCACAGGACTCAGCATCCACACAGCCAACCATGCAGAGCCCCTTAGCTCACACTTCCCTACCCCCACTGCTCCTTTCCCTTCCCAGGGCCCTATCCACTTCCTGGTGTGAAGGAATGCACTGGAATGGTTGTATCTGACAATTAGTGTTCAGTAGATACATTTTCCCTCCTGCAAGAACATCTATGTTTCTGTCAGCTCAGATGGATTAGTGATGCAGAGGAAGAGAAGAGGGCTCCCAGTCTTGCCCAGAGAGACCCTGTGATGTCTTAGCCCTTTGTCCCTCTTTCACTCTGCTAGAAGGGAGGCTCTGTCCCCTCTCTGCATCAACATGTGTCTTACTGAAGACTTTCTCTCCATTGCCTGGGACTGCTGTACAGACACATTTTCTTACTTTATTTTCTTCAACCTTAGGAGTAACTGATTTAGGGGTTCTCTCTAAAGTCAGGTGTGTGTGTGAGTGTGTGTAAAACACAATCACATTATACAGTGTGTGCAGAGCTCAAGTGTAGCTTCCCCTTTAGTGTGTAAGATATAAACTCTCCTAACCGGTGGCTTCCTAGATCTTCCATCTTGATCATAAAGAGTTCTTGACTTTTTGTTTGTTTGTTTGTTTGTTTTTGCCAGTCATGTTTGGTTCTGCCATAGGTCTGTCAGCTATACAGATTGTTGGTATAATGTTCTTGTGGAATGTATACAATTTACCCTTGTTCATTCAAATGCTGATTTCTCTACCCCACTATCTGGTTTTAATCCCGACATTGCATTGTGATGTTTGTTCTAAGCATCACCTGTCTCAAGTTTGTGTAAACATGCCACCATTTGTTCTCTGTGTTGTCAATAAAACAATCAGCCAGTGCTGTGCAATGGAGAGAATAGGGTGGGACATCCTGGTCTGGAGGGGAGGAGAAAGAAGCAGGTGGGAGGAGTAGGAGAGCAGAGATCAGCAGGAGAAGACTTGGAATCAGATTGAAACCAGATAGTGGGGTAGAGAAATCAGCATTTGAATAAACAAGGGTAAAATGTATGCAGTCTACGAAAACATTATACCAACAATCATGCATCTACAAAACCTGCACAGTAAAACGGTAACCTGCCTACAATGTCTACTGTTGCAGTAGTGACACAACTGGTATAAAAGGAACCAACCACTTTTTGTTTTAATTTATGGATCGCTCAATGAGATAAACCCACCCATGACACTGCTAAAGTGACCAAGACTTAAGACTAGGTAAGGAAAATA